ACGGTAGCATGACCGATCCTCGCCCCGAGAGTAGGAACGAGAGGTCTCTCGGCTCGACAAAAGATTTCAGTCACCTTGAAAAAAATCGTCTCTCTCGTCTCTTGCATAGCTCCTCTGGTCGTTGTCGGCGGGACGAGCAGCGGACAACTTGCCATGTTTACCCGTAACAAGATTCAACTCCCTACCATCGGCCGGTCGCCCCCCGCCGGCGGTAGCTCGTGGTTGTTGTTCTCGTGGACGATAGGGACCGCGAAGACCGTGGGGACCGACGAATGCGAAACCGATCAACTCGAAACGGGACGAGAATGGGACAGCAACGAGCGGTCCAGCGCATTGATCATTTTCGAAGGTTATGTAATACTGTTAGCGCTCTGTTCGATCCCAGGAGCGACGGCTCGGGGCAAATGGCTCCCTCGATACATTCTACCCGGATGATGGTATCGTTCGGGATCGAAAAAAAAGTCGCTCGAACAGTATACTCGGCGACGTCAAGCTAAGTTGGCGTTGCGAGGGAGCGGAAAGGCTCCAGAGGAAGAGTCCGAGCTCGGCAGCCCCGACCACGGTCCGACATCCACAACGAGCGATAAAACGAGTAAATGGAAACCGGGACTGCAAGGAATAGCTCGCTGGGCTGGCGCATCCCTCATCCGTGCAAGCCATCACAAAATCTGAGGTCTTTCAATTAGATGCCGAATGCGCGATGAGAGTCAATATGCAAATGAGTCGGCTCCACTTCTGTCTCTATTTGCCGCTGTTATTGCCCCAGACGACGACGTGGTGGCGGCGGTCGTGGTCGTCGCCGTCCTCCTTGCTGCCTCTCCTGGTGCCACCCGACCGACGCCGCCGCTGCTGCTGCTTTTCCATTGCCAAATGACTCGAAAGATTAGCAAATGGAGCGAATCGATGGAGCCCGCCAGGCAGTCGGCCTGGATGGCGCGAGAGCGCGTTGACGGGCCTGCTGCCAGCCGTGGAAGTCCTTCCTCAGAGCTCGGATTTTTTCCAAGTTGTACGTTTTCGACGACTTTGAGGTTTTCCTTCCACGGGGCATCCGACCGACTTCAAAGGGCATCGCTGAAGGTGAAAGGGCGAATCGCCGCCTGGATGGCTGGTTAGCTGCCGCTACTGCTGTCTTTGCTTGCGGCGGCAGCGGCTCCCGCCACTACTACGACGACGACGACTACTTCTGCTGCCGCCTCCACTGCTGCTTATGCCGAAGGTCACTGCGGACATTGTGCCTGCTGGCCCCGCCTGTCCGCTGGGCCGTAGCGGCACATAGGGACGTCTAGCCGCTACTGGACCGACCCCGGTCAGGGCCCGCCCAGAGCCCCCGGCGGCACAGAAGTGGGCTCTGAGCCCCCCGTGGCGGGCGAGCGAGCGGGACTCATCTCTCGGTGAACGGAGGGAATTATGCGTGGAGACCAGTGGCCGCCGCGCCACCACCATTGCAGGCCCGACTGGTACCGCCGCCGCCGCCGCCGCCGACGGGAGAGGCCATGATGTCCTTTCGCTTTGCGTTCGTCTGCGCAGGTCCCCGCGCACCTCAGGAGGTTGTTGCCGTTGCTGTCGACTCGGACCCTTTCGGTTACCGCCGGCGCCATCGACGACGTCGTCGTCGTCGTCGTCGTTTGCCTTCAATGACCCCCTTTTCCATCTTTGCGTGCCTGCATCCCACTCTTTTTCCCTGCCCAGGGCCCGCCCGCCCGCCTGCACACCCGACCAGTGGCTTGACGTTACTCCCGACGGCACGAGCTGGAACGAAGGGCCCAAAACCCTTCAGCTTTGTCGACGTCAACAACAACAACAACGACGACGTCGACCACCACCAGTGGCGCCGCTGTGCGCAAAGGCCACCGAAAGCCTTCGCTAGCCTGCTTTCCTGTCTGCCTGCCTGCGTGCCCGTCGTTCGTTCGCTCGCTCGCTTGCTCAGGAGCAGGAAAAGGAGAAGGGACCGCCTCCGTCGAGTGGAGGGCCAGAGCCCACCAGCCAGCCAATGGACATCCGCCGCAATATTTGCCTCATCTCGAGAGGCCCGGGAACGAGAGGGACGCTCTTCACTACCTGGTTGGTCCCCAAGCCCGAGGCCCGCTGCCGCGGTGTCCCCTCGGTGTGTCGTCGTCGTTTCCCCCAACTCGGATTCCCGTATGCCCCCGCGAGCGGGCGGCCGACCGACCGACCGCCTGCCTGCCTTCCTTCTTTCCCGCTTGCATGCCCTGCTGAGCCCCTGAGAGATCGGCCCACGCACGATACAAGCAGAAAAGCAGGCAAGCAACCAAGCAACCGAACACTCGGTGAAAACGAGAAATATGTCGCTCGAAGATTTTCCTGCCTGCCTGCTTGCTTGCTCACTCGATAGCTAGCTAGCTACTCGATGTGAATTTCAACCAGACAAAACAGAAACGTAAAACAGACGGGCTTCTGTAATTTGCTCTTCTCGCCCCGTGGGAACGGAACACCGAAAGACAGTCACAAGACCATCCCAGAGCAGCATCGGCAGATCCTCGCTCAGCTATAGAATCGAAGAAATCGGAAATCTCCCAGAGTTCCTCGTTTGTCCGGATTCATTCTGAGCGTCGGAGCCGTTCGAGAAAAGCTTCCCGACAATAATAATCGTTCCGTCTAGGCGTGGCTGACGCTTTTAGCTTCAGAAAACATATTTTTCAACTCGAGTGACTACAGTACGAGCAGAACTCGGCAGATGATCTCGCAATCAGAGACGCCGGGCAACAAAACGTCATGAATAATTCGAGTCGAGCTAATCCACTCGCCGGACCTAAATGGAACGAGTTGAGAATTGCCGCTCCATTCTTTTACGACGCTCACGTGCGCTCGATCCGCACCAAACAACAAACAGAGGTGTCTCCCTCCTCTCGAGCCCGTTCGCGCGTACATGGAGACGATGATGATGCTCCCGTTGCAATCTTGGTCGTCTTGGCTTTTTCCCTCGTCGTCTCCGCTCTTAATCCTAAGTAAATCTTCATTACAACGTCACACAGTGGCGACCAGCTGCAGTGAGAGGGCTCCTCGAAAGGAGAACAAAAAGGACGACGACAAGAACGAGTACAAGCCATCATCTCACTCCGAGCCTCGTTTGCGGGCGGGCGGACGAGCGAGCGAGCGGCCGAGCAAGCTCTCGCTCCTCTCCGGTTTCTACAAGAGGGCCTGAAACACAAAAGCCTCCCGTGGCTGCCGCCCGTACGTCGAGCAGGACCACGGTGATCCTAAAAAGAGTTAATTACGTTGTTGGCTATTATGGCTCAGCGAGCGCTGTTGTCGTCCCGCTGTTGAGCCGGCAGCGAGGCCAACGATTGTTTAGCGTCATTTCAAAACAGGTGACTTTTTCACTCGGCCGAGAGATCAATCGATTGTCCGATCCTTTATCGAACGGAACATCACTCGTCGATTCAATCGAGTGCATGGTGCTCGACGCAATCCACGGCGTTCTCGAATACGCAGCGAAAGAAAAACTACAGGGGCCGACCTACGACTACGACAGACATGCTCGACTCTCTTGAGATGCGCGAAACAGCACATTGTGAGCGGCTGGTCGCCTGTTCGTTCCGATTGAAAAGGAGAACCGACCCCTAAAAAGGAAGATGCATACGTCGTTGTCGTCGTCCCAGCAGCAGCGGCTGCTGCTGCTGCTGCCACCGTCGTCGTGGGTGGAATGGCTGTCGGGAAGGGGTGACATCGACTGAACGTGACGGGGTCTTTTTGCCAATAGGGGAAGCTGAACGGGAAGCCGAGCAGAACCTCCGAGGGGTTCGGTCCGATAGAGATTCGGCTCGAAAGAGAGACAGTCGCAAGCTTGCAGCGAACGAGAAACGAGACGAAAAAGGAGAAGCTCCGGGTAATCGAGAAGCATTTCCTCGCTGAGATAAAACTGATAAGCATCCAAAGAGGCTCTGCTTCCGGATGCGAGCGCGTACGTGCCCGCCTTCGAGCTCCGCGGGACGGTGACCAGGGCGAGAAATCACGTCGACAGCGATTATTGAATATTATTTCATACAGGTACATCGAAACATTATTATAATTTCCATCGCGTAGATGAAACTCAGATGAATCCGTCATTGAAACGAAGGGAATCGTCCCGATGAAGCTCCCGGCGAGATTCAGTTCCCTTCCCGTGAAGCTCCGCTTCTTGACACGCCGTGTCCGGTCAAACGAGGACCGAATTCGGACGCTCTGACCGAATCGTCTCGCGTCCGATATTGGTCAGAAACAACGGTCAGCACCGAAATCGACGCCGAAGTTGTCGCTGTTGCTTTCAAACATACAACTTCGACGCGTCCGTTCGCGTCGCTTGTGTGAAACTCCCTCAGTTCCCAAAAATCATCGGTGACCATTGGGACGTTGGATTTCGGAAAGTTCGTGGGCCAAGAAATGGTCGACGAGGAACAACCGTTCCAGATGAATGGACAATTCTCATAATTTGGACCCGATGGCCGACGCTTCGGGGAGACGACGTCAAAGTTTCGAAGTCGAAAAGTCCGTTCGCAGCAATGACCATCGCCGATAACGAGAGAAACCATGAGCTCCACTGCGGTTTCTCTCCATTGCCACCAGAAAATTGGAGAATTGACTCGCTCTGGGGGTCTCCACCGCGGAGCTCGGAGTTCCCGATGGGAAGTCGCGGACGGACGGCTTCCCGCAGGCGGGCAGGCAGTCCTATTTCTAAATTCCATTCGGCGATGCTCATCGATATGGTCAACTATTCGCCCGCAGAATACGCTTTGGGCAGAATACCTAAGGAGAAAATCTCGTCGGGCTCAGGGAAATCTAGGGAAAAAAGGAAGAGGCACTCGTGAGAATGCGTGCGTGTATGAAATTGACCCAGTTTCGAAGAAAAGTTAAGAGCTGTCACCGTCGCTCGGCTCAATGAGCAGCTCAGTGTTCAGCCCTTTTCCGCGAATAGTCTACGACACGACTTGGAACTGATGGAGGAATGAGAAAATTCTCCTCAGAGCGTGGATCCTGCGGAGTGGAACACGAGGAGAACTTACCACTGTTTGAGTCGCCATCGCCGAGCACCGATTTCGTGTCGGCGAAATGCTTCACCCCCTGGGGATCATCCTCACGCATCCGTTTCATGCCTCGCGGACTCGAGGGTTCGCTGTTAGAGCCCGTGGTCGAATGGCTGGATCCGTTCAGGCTTAACGCTTTCCTCGACGTACAGTTTTCCTTGTTTACGCAGTTTCGCATTTTGTGATTCATAAAGCGAAGAATGTCCGCCAGGGGAAACCGTTCGTAGCACACTCCGCAAGTGAGGATGTCGTCTACCATCTTCCAGACGTTTTCAACTGAAAAAGAGGAAGAAGTTATGAATAGAGGTCGCTCGCTCGCTCGAAACCGTTGAAATGCGCATAGCGTCCAAGCTCAAGAAATGTGTCCGCGTCAACGAAACAGGACAGGTTCTAGCGAGCACCTAAGATTGAGCATCTTCAGAAATTCGCGGAACACATGTGCTATGAATTGATCGGGTTCTTCTTCTTCCGGACCGAGGGATATGTATGCATGCGTATGTTAAGCAGGGTGGTCCAATAGATCGGGGCGCAGTGGCTCTTAAATTCAAATTTTGTTCCATTATCTCATGGCGGGAGCGGGTGATATTCAACTAAGAACTCCTTAATCGGCGCTTTCGACCCCTTTCGGTCCCCGCTCGATTCTGCTTGCTCGGCACAAGGAAAAACGCCGGTTCCCTCTCCGGGCGCGCTTCCAATCACGTGAAAAACGGTGACCCCACTCTTCCTCCGGCAGGACCGAGACCTGACCGGGCTCCTCAGCAAGAAAAGTGCCATCGCTGACCATCGGAATCAATTGACCGATCGGCGGGGTGCGTAATATTGATCGGCCCTGTGCGCAGATCTGGTCCTGAGTTCGATGATTAAAAACCTGGATTCGGGCGGAGCGATTCCACAGGTTTTTCAGATTGAGGCGTTCGCTGAGCGGGATCAGATCCGGGAGCGTAAACTGCCGAAAGAAAAATTGAGAGAAGTCTATCCGAGGCGGCGAGCCGAGGGGTGCGCGTGTGTGTGTGTTCGGGTGGGAGAGTATAGAGGAATCGAGCAAGAAAAGCTGAGCTATGATGGTGGTGGAAGAGGAGGAGGTAGCAGTGGCTCACCGTCGGTGGGTAGATTTGTATCAATTTTGATAAGTGACTTTCCCGCCTTTCAAAGCGCGCGGACGACACCAAATGGGTCCGCTTTCACGAAAACCCTCGTCATACCCTTGCTGGTATATCCCGCGTTCATTCCAGCACGAGCGCCAGTGCGAATTTACACGGTTTGAGCGACAACGTAATGTTGTCTCGCGACCGCCCCCACGCAGTGTTCTCAATTGTCTGCATTGAGGCGGTCGGCGTAAAGCGGACGCAAGTTCCCCTCTCAGAGCTTTTGTCGTCGTAAAGACAAAATGCGAGTTGTCTGTCCGAGCACAGGACAAGTTTATCCTTGTTCATTGCACAGTTAGGCCCGGCCACCAGCGCATCAGCAGTAAACCCTGAATCTGACAGCCATTCCGCGAGGGTCCAAGTCGAGTTCGGTGACAATCGCCGGCGCTCGGTTGGGCCCTTGACAGGACTGCGTCGACTACGCCGCGCCGCCGACCAACTACTACTACTACGACCAGTACTAGTGGGACAACGACGGCGACGATGCCCAAAGGGGCTGCTGACTCCCTCCGCCAGTCGAAAGCTCCAGAGATAGTATGCAAAATAGTTGGCCGGAGCTCTCTCGAAAACGCACACGAGCTCGGGGACTATTGCGCATTTCAATCGACTTCTTCTCTCGCCGACTGCCTGTCCAGTCGGCTCGCCTCTCGTTCCTCCTTCAAATCGTCCCTGGACTCTTTTTTTTTCTTCCTCTTTCTACTTCGGAGCGTCTCGTCCCACAAATCGAATCAGGATCAAACCGAACGGACCAAGCGAGTGGAGTCGACCGCTACCGTCCTACCACCTGGCTATTTTGGAAGCTGCTAAGAGCCGCAATACGCTCGAGGTGCCAAGAGGTTCCAAACCTGGGTCGACCCTGTCCGTCCCAAGTGGTCAACCCGATAGAGTCTGTTGTGTGAGTGCTCGATTGTTCAGGATTTATTCATTCCTGTCTCGCCGCAAAATCGATGAGGTTCGGTAGATCTCTGCTCTATTCGTGGAGCCTTCTCTCTCTCTCGCTCTGTCTCTCGACAAGTATGGGGGTTTTCCGATTGACAAAGAGCGTCTTTTCCCTTCAGCTTCTTTTTCTGCTGCTCATTCAATCGTTCCCTCCGTCGGTCGGTCGGTTGCTCCTCCCCCCCCCTCGTTCGCCCACCCGCTCTTTCGTTCGGATCGAAAACGTCGATACCCTTTTGTGTTCAAGCAGGCGAATGCTAAAGCTGAACGAAGGCTGAGTGAGTGAGTGACTGAGTGGATGAATGAGTGAACGAACGAACGAACGGACCAACGAGAGGACCGACGGACGGATGGCCCCATTAAGAAACACTCGGTCACTTGGTAGCGGCCTCTTTCAGCGACATCGCCCACTGGACAGAGGCCGAGGGAGAGATTCGTTGGTCTCGTCAAAGTTGTGTCATTGTGTCCTACGGCGTCACTTTGATATACGGACCTGGCACGATTCGAATCGAAGCGAGAAGAAATTACCAACCGCTGTCCGGACCTTCGTTCGAAACGTCCACAATAATTAGTCGCTCCTCGGTCAAGCTTGATGAGAATGAATTCGACAGACCGATTGTTCCGAGACTAGAAGAAGGCAAAACAACAGCAGCGGCAGAGACGGTAGCCGCGACCGGCGAAGCGAGCTCTGCCCGCACGTTGACAAGCTCTGACAAATGCCTCGGCTGATTGACAGACAGGCCGACTGGCGTTGGCCTGCCGGCCTCTGCTCGGCCACAGGACCGACCAACTGTCGAATGGTCATCGATGGAGGACCGCAAGGTAGACCAGAGAGACCAGCGGTGAACAACCTTGATGGTATGAGAGAGCTTCTTCTTCTTCTTCGCCGTCATCATTGTGAAGCAGCTACCCAGCAAGCTACATGGGCGCTGGGAAAGCACTCAAGCAAAGCCAGTCCGAGCTATGAACGCTTCGAATCGAACATCAATTGACCGATGCAAACGCCGTGTACGGTATTCCGCTCTCGGCGATTGCAGGGGACCGAAAAAAAAACAAGCGCGCGAGAAGCTCCCTACGCGTGGAGGCTGCAGCGTTTACGAGCCGAGAAATCTCGCTAGCTTCGGCCTCCTCCTTGAAGTCATCCTTCCCAAGAGGATGTTTATGTCGATTTTATGAGCGGCGTTCTCCTGACTCTCCTCGAGGGATCGAAAGTGATACCATATACATGTATAGTTTCGCTCCGTTGGCCACACACTGTAAACTCTCAAACAACAAAGCATCGCTGGGATCATCATCCACAACAACAACAACAACGACAGCAACAACAACAACAGTGTTGTAACTGAGGAACAACAAGGAGAGTGGCGGCTATCAATTTTTCATTCCAAATCAAACGCTACTCGATGGTCTCCGGTTGAAGGCTCAGTCAGTGTCTTTCATCCGTGCGTCGTCGGGTGTCGTCTGCGGGGGAGAAGATATGGAGGAAATTCTGAAGAAAAAATGCCCCCGAGCACAAACACACAGTGCAAAGGGCAGGCGGTCTGATGGACAAACATGCAGCGGGAACGACCGATTCCAATAGACTTGCGCTCACTTCGCAGCCGAGGTTCATGAACTGTCCGAGCAAGCGGGGCGAGGGGTGGCGGCTCGCGCACTCATCGTTTTCGGAATCCAGTTTTTTCTCGCACTGACTCTCGTCTGGTGGCGGCCTTGTAAGGCAACCGGATCCTTTTTCCTCGTTGGCTCATTCTTTATTGTGGCGGCGGCGGTGGTGGTTTAGAGACTACGCCCTACATCTCGTAGATGTCTTCATTCGAACGGCTCCATCCAGCAGTCAGCAAATCCTCCCAGAACGCTAAATTACACGATTTCATTGGCTCTCCTTCGAGTGAGAACGGATACCCATCCGCTCACTCGATCGGTCCGGCGACGAAGACGACTTTTGTTTGCTGCACTGACGGAGGGAAACTGCAGCGGGAAATCGCCGCCGCCGTCACAGAAAATCGCCGACTCGTCCACGTGCGGCGGCACCTGACCGAGCAAGAAGACCACGGCGGTCAATACAGTCAATGCGACGACGCTCGATCTGTCGTATGTGTCAAGCTCGGGTAAAAAAGAGAAAAAACGGGAAACTCGATTTATTAGGTGAAATTTGAACGCTCTAAAGTGTCTATGAAGTTCGTCCGTTGTGCGGTGGTCCGTGTGCCGCCACAACACGAGCGAAATACCCGATAAGAGAGTCAGTGTTTGTTTTTGTTTACCTTGACTCTCAAAACGCTCTGAGCAAGGTGTTGGGTGACAATCGATTCGAGTAAGCGGTCCGTCAGGAGACGAGTAAGTGTGTGTTGAAGTTGTGCACCGCCGTGAACGTCGTGACAAGTGTGCTGACTGACGGAGCGACCGACTGACTGACTGACGGACAGACTGACTGAATGTTTGTGGCGGGTCCATTTACTGAGGGGAGCTCAGGTGTAATGCTCAACCGCCGAAAGAAAACAATCATTGAGCGAAATTTGTCAACTTTCCCGTCCGAGCGTATTTTTTTTCGGATCGGAGTAGCTCCCCCACGAGTATTCCGTCTGAAGAGTTTCTTATTCCACTTTTTTTCTCCTTTGTTCCGAATCTCTCCGCTTGAACCCAATCTTTTTCCTCGCTCCCTACAGACTGTCGAGTTCTGTTCACCCAAGAAATGAGAATGATTCTTCTAAAGCGCAAGGTCGCATCCGCGGAACGCGAGCGATCTTGCCGTACCGCAGAATTCTGGACGCTCGATAGCATTGGGGAGCGTGTGTGACCAGTTGTGAAAGCCGACACGGTGACATTTTACGGAATCGACCGGAGCAGACTTTATTCCTGAAGCCTTCGTCGTTGCTCGTGCTGAGGCTGTTGGTGCTGTGGTAAGCAGATGTTACGGCCCGTCGTCGGCGCAGCCGGGTAACGTCGCGGGGCTAACTGAGCCGAGAAAATACGACCACCGAGTCGAAGAGCACCGAAAGTGCGAACAGAAACTAACCACCGTCGCAGGCAAGGAAACAAAGAGGAAAAAGTCACCGAATACCAGAAGTGGTTTCGATGAGAAAATTCCGCAAGTGAAAAAGTCCGGCAGAAGGAACGGATCGACCAATGCACCGTCTGTCTGTCCCACCAATCGACGGAGTAGCCGGCCGCGCAAGTGAGC